GTTTAAAAAGCCACACTCCTAAAAGCTGTCAAGAGAGTATTTCTGAACCACAGAGGAAGATAATACGAGGGAATGCTATGCTAAGTGACATGATTTAGTCATTAGTGGTGTAGACATATATCAAAATACCATATCACACATGTAGTTTTACTGTCAGTTAAAAATAACTTTTCAAAATTTTATCAAAACATGCCCATACTAATTTGTCCAAATCTGCTTTGATTCTAACAATCAAGTGGTTAAATAATTGTAAAACAAACTGTATAAACCCAATAATAAAGTATTTACTCTTCTAATTCTACATACTTCCCTTCCAAGAAAGTCAAATCCCATCTTAACAAAAGGAAAAACAAAAGGATAAAAGAATCTATGTTTTTGAATAATCATTTGAAACAAAATAACATCCAATTTGGGATTGTGAAATGGCAGAGTAGAAAAAGGCACTTTTGATACAAGTCTGGTGACCCACGCTCCAAACCAAGAACTAACAAAAAGGAAAGAGAGAATCAACTCTATAAAGTCATCCTCTGAGCCACTTCCCCCGCCATGCACATACACAAGAATGCACACACATGGATGTGTACACTCCCTCACACACATAAATAAGCATGCACACACAGGCATATGCACCCCACATCCATGCGCATACAGAGGCATGCACATACATGGGCATGTACACCCCCCACAAACTACACATGCATACACACACATTGGCATGTACACTCCCCTCCACACATATACACAAACACGCACACATAAGGGCATGTATACCCACCACACTCATATACGCGAGCATCCACACATACTGACATGAACAACCCCACACACACAAACATCAATAATATATAAATCTCTTTAAAAAATCATAGAATAGCATCCAGCTGAGAGTAAATGCTTTGTGGCTATATGAGGAAAAAATAAGAACTGTATTGAAACAAATTTTTGGGACTTGTTAGTACAATACAGGTATCTATCAAACTTACAAAGAAGGATGCGGATACTGGAGGGGTATGTTAGTTGTAAAGAACACAGGCTTCTCTTCCACTGGATCTAGATTCAATTCCCAGCACGCATATGGTAGCTCACAATTATCTGTAACTTCAGATTAGAGATCTGGATATGGGATCTCATTCCTCTTTTGGCCTCTGCAGTCACCAAACACTCAAACGGTACACAGATAGACATGTAAGCAAAGCACTCATACATATAAATTAAAGGAAAAATGTTTCAAAGAGAGGTCCATTTGAATAAAATTATGCTCTTTAGGCTCTTGTTATTTTTAATGTGGACTGAAAATGTATTTTTATTAGCTTTTCTTGAAATTTAAACCTGTCTGCAGTATACATGGGAAAAAATGTCCATAAACTAGTTGTTTAAATTATGTGTTTTACACCTTTTAATACAACTTCTCATTACTTGTTATAAGTATTGCATTGCTTTCATGTTTTAAATGATTCCCATAATTCAAATTAAATATTTTTGAATTCTTTATATTTCATTCATGTTCTATTATACATGAATATTCCATAAAATATCCTGCAGTTCTTATTAACTATTTTCTTTATTTATGCAATATAATATAATCATGTATGTCTATTTATCACACAAAATCATACATTACAAACATATAAACATTGAGATCTATTTCAGAGTTTTCACAGTATCCCACTGATCTAGTCTTTGTTTTGTTCAAATCAGTGTTGTCAAGCTTTAACTACTATAGTATATAATTTAAGATTAAGATGAACTGTAGAAGATCATTCCATCCATACTTACAGCTTAGCTTTAAAGAAAACACAGTAAGGCATACTGGACAAGCCAAGGTTAAATAGGAGTTGAAATTCTTTGTTTAGCTTATCACGATTACAAAGGAAGATTGATATGTTCTATGGCAGATACTTGTGATACACAGAAAGGGAGATAGATACATCACATAAAGGCCTCAAATCACCTGCAGTTACAGTAATACAATATGGAATTGTCAAATAGTAACACAGAGTGACTCCATTTTTAATATATATATTCTTTTCATGTAATTTCTGTATTTGATATGAGCTCTCATATAATTATTAACACTTTTTAGGCTGAGAAATCAGATAGTACAATTAAGTGGTTTGAGTGTAATCGTAAAGCCAGTGCCTTAGACACTGTTTGACATTGTTGAGAAAATAATATAAACTATCCCATAAAAATCAGGGCAAGTTTGTTTGCTTTTCACAATTCTCTGAACAAATTCAATGTTTACCTTGAACAAATTCAAGGTAAAGACAGCTTTTGGTTCTCAATGGTGATTTTGGGACCCTTCCATGCATCAAAGATTCACTACCTCCCTGGGCTACAGGAACACAGCAAAGAGAATTCTGAGTGCTTGTGAGAAAATTCCAAGAAAATAAGAAAAAAAGTCTTGTGACCTCAATTTCTTGAAAAACACAGAGTTTTTCTAGGAATGTGTTTGCAATGTTCTTCCCAGGTGTAATGGAGAGAAGTGAGCTTCCTTAAGATTAGCCCTGACTCCTGGCTTTTGTTATTTGTGCAGAAGCAGGGTTTTGCCACACACCCTTTGCCCCTGTGATAGCACATTTTATTCCTTTGACTCCACTCACCCTCAGGGCTTAAAGCGTCTGATGCTCTGAATGAAGCTGGCTTTTCGTGTGAGGTCTTGGTTAATTCATTTGCAGGCTTCAGTCTCCCAAGTTCCATGGCCCTTAGAGCAGTACACGCCGGGCCTTTGTTATAAAAGAGTCAATCTATAACTGAACAATTGTGGCACACACTTTCAATCCCAGCACTCAAGAGGCAGAGGCAGGCCAGTCTCTGAGTTCAAGGCCAGGTTGGTCTGTAAACAGAGTTACTGGAGAGCCAGGGCTACACAGAGAAATCTTATTTTGAACAGCCAAAAAAAAGAGTCAACCCCAATACATGAGGTAGAAAACCCTACAGCTGAGTCGTCTCCAAAGAATAGTGCCCTCCTAGTGCTGTTTCTTTTGGTGGCAGGATTCAGCATTAGAACTTAAGAGTGACCACGGGGCCTCAGACAGAAGGAGTAGACACAAACACTGGGCCCTTCCACTTTCCATTGCAGCCAAGCACTGCCTGCCATTCACATATTAATTGCAAAATGTCCTTGGAAGCGTGGGCATATTGTATATCTGTATTACATAGGTTTTCCACTGCCGTGAAGAGATGCAGTAACCAAGGCAACTCTTATAAAGGAAAACATTTAGTTGAATTGTTTACAGTTCAGAGGTTCAGTCCGTTATCACGGTAGGACGTGGTGGGGTGCAGATAGACAGTGTTGGAGAAGTAGCTGTGAGTCCTACATCTTGAAGGAAGTGGTCAGGGTCACTGGGAGTGGGTTGAGAATATATGAACCCTCAAAGCTCACCTCCACAGTGACACACTTTCTCCAATAAGGCCACACCTCCTAATAGTGCCACTTCCTTTGGGGGAGGATTTTCTTTCAAACTGCCAACATATAGTAAACTGTATTATGTTTTGTTATGATCAAATACTTACATTGGAATCCCATATGGAACAACTGTATTTTTTGCAGAACTTGGGGATAATTCTGGGAGATAACTTTTGAATTTTGTTTATTATTTTTATTATAGAGACTATATCAAATGTATCTATACACCTGAACTCACAACTTGATAATTCTATGTTGTCTCATGCAGGAGAATCAGTTTATTCAAAAATTATTATAAGACTTTCAAAAATCCTTAAGTTATTAAATATTTCTTATATACTCAGTAATTTGTTATCAAATGTATTGTATATTCATATATGATCTTCTCAATTTATTAGCAATTCCATATGCACTAACAATGACTAGTGCCCGATTTATGAAGTATAACTTAAGCAATCATTTTGAAGAGTCATGAGTATCTGTCCTTGATTGAATCCCCACTCTTGGCGTTATCATATGATAATAATTATTGATATTTATTTAAGCTTTACAATGCATTTATATACTATTCAGTTGTTTCTCTTTGTGAGTCTTGTTATAAATAAAATGCCATAGTAATATTTCCTTCTTTGACTCTATTTCTTCCCTGAGCATTGTATTTAGGAGATTAATCTATGTTGATAGATATAGAATGTTTATTCCTTTTATCTACACTATAGTAAGGGATTCCATACACGTAACCCAATACTTGGTTTATTCATTCTCATATCAATGTACACTTGGAGCATTTGCAGTCTTTGATTTTATAAACAATGTTTCTCTAAATAAAGTTGTATATATTTCACATGATCATATCAACATGTGGTCTGTCGGTCTCATCCAGTTTCTAAACTGTTTCTTATAGATTTGTGATGGACTGAGTGAAAAACTGGTGGTTGCACATTTAGGAGCTTTGACGGCGACTTTGCTCTTAGTAGAGCTTATTAATTCATTCTTTATTAAGCGTTTACAACTTCATTGATGGTGAATTTTTGGTGAGTCACAATTTGGTAAAAGCCAGGTCTCAAGGGATACAGTATAAGTTGTACTTGCAGTCAGGAATACTGCAGTGCACACTTCGAATGTGCAATCCAAATGAAAGCTTCATCTAAGAAGTCTTGCCATGAGAAAAAGAAAATTACAAAAGTAATAGGCCAGGTGTGTGGGTGCATGTATGTAATCACAGCCCTCCAGAAGCTGAGACAGGAGGGTCACGTTTGAAGCAGCCTGGATGATGCAGTGAGAGCTTGTTGCAAAAGAAAAACAAGTAGAGGACACATACAAAGCTTGTGCACACATACAAGGCCTGTGCAGTACAATTCTGTGATACTTCACAGATAGATTGAAATTATATTACACTCCAAAATATAAAACTACAGGTAGGAATACACATGTTTTCCCAAGTTAATATCTCATTTGGTGACTACAGTTAGTGATAAAATGTTCTTAGGTTGTGTGCTCTTTGTTTTTTGTTTTTGTTTTTTTTTTGTTTTTTTGTTTTTGTTTTTTTTTTTTGAGTGTTAGAGTCAACACAGCCCAGACTCAAACTCACCATGAGGACAAGTGGCTTTGAACTCCAGGTCTTCCTGTTTACCAAGGACTGAAGATCTGTACCACCAAGCCCAGTAAATATGCTGTATTTTTGAAAAATAAAAATGCAATGAATATTGTGTTCTACCACAAAAATGATAAAGGAATTGATTAATGAAATATTTGTTACATATATGGTATGCACTAGAAAATATCCTGATTTAGCTGGTTATCATGTAAAACCATCTGTAGATTTTAATTTTTAATTAAAACCACCTTTAAAATGTATAATTTAACATTAAAATGTTTAGCTTTATTGTTAACACTGAATTTGTTAAGTGGATTGTAATGTTCACTGTATTTTTGGTGTATGAAGACACAGCATCAGAATACAGAAACAATAAATGAAATAATGAAAGCAAGCTGATTTCAAGTAAGGGAAGACACAGTGTCTGTTAAGTTTTACTCAGAAATGTCATTTTTTTATTTACTTGACTCAGTTATTTAGCTATTATTTTAATCATTTATGAAATGACACATATTAAATATTTTTCATTTAATTATTAATGTTTCAATTGTTTTTTTAAGACAGATCCTATTATGCAACCTACACTGGCCTGGGCACCATGCTCTCAACTGTCCTCTAATTCTAAAATACTATCCTATGCTGTAAGATTTACAGTCTATAAACAATCGCTGAAACTTTAATGCAATTCTAAATCAAAAGTGTGGAGCAAACCAGGTCTGCTGGATAGTTTTATCAGTTTGACTAGCTAGAGTCATCTAAGAGGAGGGAACCTGAATTAAGAAAATCATTCTGTAAGATCATATGGAAATCATGGGCTCTAGAAAAGCTTATAGGATAATTTCTTATTAGTGATTGATGGAGGGCCCAGCCCATTTTGGGTGATACTGTCCTTGGACTGGCTGTCCTAGCTTCTGTTTAATGAAGTAGGCTGAGAAAACCATGAAGAGTAGGAGGCATCTCTCCATGGCCTCTGTATCAGCTCCTGCCCCTAGGTTCTTGCTGTGTTTGAGTTCCTATCCTGACTTCCTCTGATAGTAAGCAGTGATGTGGAAGTACAGGATAAATAAACCCTTTCCTCCCCAACTTGTTTTTTGTTTGTGATGCTTCATTTTAGACTTGGGAACCCTAAAACACCAGGAATGGTGGTATAGATGCAGTGGAATAACCCTTTTGTACACTGTGAATATTTGCCATTTGGATTGGTTTAATAAAAAGCTGAATGGCTAATAGCCATGTCGGGATTATAGGTGTAACAACCAAATTAAGAGAATAATGGGAGAAGCAGCACAGAGTCAGGGAGATGCCAGCCAGCTGCCAATGAAGCAGGACATGTTGAAAACGAGGTACAAGCAATGAGCCACATGGCAAAGCATAAATATGAAATGTGGGTTAATTTAAATGTAAGAGTTAGCTAGTAACAAGTCTGAGCTATCAATCAAGCATTTATAATTAATATTAAGTCTCCAATCTAGTTATTTGGGAAGCAATTGGTTGGGACAAGAAAACTCTGACTACAAATGACACCCAACAACAAGGGCTATGCATATCCACATAAAGTCTGGAAAAAAACCTTTAAGAAAAAAAGGTTCTAAATGTATAGAAATGGACCAGATATGACTTTCTAGCCTTCTGTCTCTCATACCTATTGTGGTATAGAGATATATCTCCTGGCAACTGCCAGCATGCCATGAATTAAGCTGCATGGCACATTCCCTCAGTTTTTCACATGGGCCACAGTCCAAAGAGGCAACTCCCAGAAGCACTTTGTGGCAGATTTAAAATTTTTGCTCATAGTCAGGCGGTGGTGGTGCATGCCTTTAATCCCAGCACTTGGGAAGCAGAGGCAGGCAGATCTCTGTGAGTTCGAGGCCAGCCTGGTCTACAAGATCTAGTTCTAGGACAGGCACCAAAGCTACAGAGAAACCCTGCCTCGAAAAACCAAAAAAAAAAATTCTCATGTAGATAGAAAAAGTTACAGATATGCAGTAATGATAGATTCAGATAGAAAAGTTCTCTAAATCTGTTATACTGTGTTAAAAAAAATATGTGAATGCTTGGGAGAGAAAATAAAAGGGTAGAAAAAGTATTTAAAAAGGAAGAGTGTAATAAAAATATAAGAGCCACTTAAAGATGGGAAATACACAGAAAGTCTGGATCCTGTATAATATTGTGCTGTTTTTGAATGTTTTGGTTGCTAGGAGATACTGCATTATAAAAATTGCTAGATTTCACCCACCTATATATTTTAAAAATATATTGACTTCAAAATTTAAGTTAAATGTTGGGAGAGAGGTTTTGCCTTTATTTTCACAGAAAATGAGAGGCTATAAATTCATTTCTGCTTAAAGAAAATTGGGTTTGCCAGGCAGTGGTGGTGCACGCCTTTAATCCCAGCACTCAGGAGGCAGAGGCGGGTGGATCTCTATGAGTTCGAGGCCAGCCTGGTCTACAAGAGCTAGTTCCAGGACAGGAAAAAAAGCTACAAAGAAACCCTGTCTCGAAAAATCCAAAAAAAAAAAGAAAGAAAGAAAATTGGGTTTGATTGAGGAAGAAACCCTTAAATCCCAATTAAAACATAAAGAAATAAAACAAAAAGAGCTACAAGACATGTGACATATATTTTACCTACTCAAACATCATAACAATTTTTTTTTACTAACTGTATACCATGTACAATCTATACTTGTACTGATACAGATAAGTATGCTGCTACCTTTAAATGTTTATGCATTTTCAGAGCAAGGGGATCAGACACAAATGAAAATTATGGCCCAAGTTATCTAGTATCCAGAACAACTTCCAGGCTGCTGACTAAGCTTAACTGGTCTCATAAAATATATAACTAAGACTTCAAAATTATCCTAGATTTTCTCAGGATCCAAAGATTATCAGTGCTTCCAAACAACAGGAAGTAGTTTAAAGAACTGCACCCACATTTCCAAAAAAATGGATTATGGATATTTGTCTTTGTTTTGTATTGGTTGCAAATTATTATTGATCATGTAAAAAAAAACGATAACAGCACCAACAAAAACTAATCAAAGGAGTTAAATTCAACTCTCTTTCTAAAGGATGAAAAGGGGATATGATATAGAAATGATAGACGAAAGAGTATATTATTGAATCTACTTTTAAAAACCAAAAGAGCAACTAGTAGTCTTAAATATTTTACATTGGTATACATTTTTATATATTGATACAAATTTAAAACTAATTGTTATGCTGTATATATGTATCTATTTTGTTTGGGTTATTAAGCTTATACAACTCATTTAAAAATGTAACATATAATTTAAAAATACAAATTAATAGTCATCTACAATGGTCAAACTTATAGTCATGTTAGGTGTGCTTTCAAGATCATAAAAAGATAGATAAATTATCTTCAAACATTTCAAAGACCTACAGAATATGCCATTTAAAGACCTAACATTTTTCATAACAGTGGGACATGTTACTGTTACTGGCAGTATCAATCTACTTCAGAAAAGATGATGGGCATAGAAGAAACCCCAAATGGAGTTTGTTTTCATCATGGTAAAAACTAGCCATGTGGGCAAAGAAACTGCCCTTGCCTCAATTGCTGACAACTACTGTACAAACTGGACCAGCAGGACACAAGAAAGGTGACTACTTAATTTTTGTCAAGAAAAGGTAGGAGAATCCTTCAAAATTCCTGTTTCACAGGAAAATATGTGAGATATGCTAGGCCTGTAGGCCAGAGTTGGATGCCCTCAATATTGCAGAGGAACATTGGGTGACTGTCCAGGAGCCTGATGCCCCTGTTATTAGGTAGCAGCTCATCCATCTGAGGTTTTGATAGAGTTAAAGGCAAGATAGCTATAATTATAATTTTACTTATTTATGATAAAAAGGTAAATTAGCTGTAAAACTTTAGATTTACCAAGATAAGATAAATAATTGATTATTTTCTCTAAAATTGCCAAATACAAATGAACTGGGTATAGTAACTTATTCTTGCTTAATAATTGTTTTTGTTATATATAATTTTAATGTGTAAAAGTTGGTACCTTCTTTTTGAATTAGACAATGAGGGGGAAATGCTGTGGAATAATCCTTTTGATTTGTTACTAGGATTGTGTTAATAAAAAGATGATTAGCTGGTAGCCAGGCAGAAATTATAGGCAGAACAACCAAATTAGGAGAATGGGGGGGACACAGAATCAGGGAGCGCCAGCCAGGTGCCGAGGAAGCGGGAGGTGTAGAAAATGAGGTAACAAACCATGAGCCATGTGGCAAAGCAGAGGTAAGAAATATGGGTTACTTTAAATGTAAGAGTTAGACAGTAACAAGTCTGAGCTATTGGCAGGCATTTATAATGTATATTAAGCCTCCAAGTCAGTTATTTGGGAATTGACTGCCAGTTATTTGGGACAGGAAAAATCTGCCTACATTTAGACTTTTTTATAAATGATAGAAGATTTTATTTTAAAACAGAAAATTCTGGAGAGGGCCATTGTTTTAAAACAGTATGAATTGTCGATACAAAAAAAAATAACACCTCTCACCTCAAAAAGAAAAAGAGTTTATCCTGAAGCCAAGAAAAATAATTGACCATGGCAGGGAATACAGATTTGAGTTCCCCCGAATTCCATGTTCCAAATGGTAACAGTTTGATGTCATTTTCATAGAAATAGAAAAAACGAAACTCATAAATTAAGGCATTTTCCAAATACATTGATGGGAACATTAGATAGATACGTGTCTTAGTTAAAATTTTATTGCTGTGATGAGACACCATGACCATGGCAACTCTTATAAAGGCAAATATTTAATGGGGGCTGTCTTATAGTTCAGAGCTCAGTCCAATATCATCATAGCAGAAAGTATGGCAGCACGCAGACAGACATGATGCTGGAGAAGGAGCTAGAGTTCCACATCTGGATTCACAGGCAGCAGGGACTGACTTAAGCTTCTGAGACCCCAAAGCCTCCCCCGACAGTGACACATTTCCTCCAGAAATGCCATACCTACACCAGCAAGGCCTCACTGACCAGTAATAGGTAGCCCAGAATTTTAACCCCAGCACTTGGGAAGCAGAAACAGGAGGATCTCCATGAACCTGAGACCAACCTGTCTTACTTAGCAAGTTCCAGGTCAGCCAGAGATACACATTAAGATTCTGTCTCAAAAATCAAGGGACAACAATTAAAAAAAAGATGGAGCCTTAAACAGGACATGGTGTATTCTGGAAGGCTGAGAAGGAAGGTCAGCAAGTTTGAAGCCAGCATCTTGAGCATAGAGGTTAGCAGTTCACATGCAACTTTTCAATAAATTCACAGTTCAATGCAGCATGGAAATAAGAAGACGGACTTGCCAAGGAAATGCATCTAATAACACCATGAATACAAAGCACCTTGAACCTGGCAATTCCTTTTGATAAACTGTACAAAATGCTAATACTGGAAAGTGATTGTTTTGAACTTTATTGATGACAGACACTAGTATCCATGAAATTGTAAAACTATAATCAATTTTACTGTTATATCAATAGCTGAGAGCGTCTCTGTTCTAGAGAGCATGTTCTGATGCACAGCTGTGAGACAAGCGGATGTTCTAGAGTGGAGTTCCAGGATAAGAAGCATTTGTAGGCACTGCAGTTTTCCACCAAGAAAGACTTGCTGTGGAAAAGAAGTCCCAGTGACACAGCAAACTCCATGACCTCTTGGAGAGCAATTATTTACATTACAGTTTTGATTTGAAGTTGCTTACTATTTAAAATCTGTTGCTTTACTGTGAAAAAAACAGTGTTAGAACTTTCCATAGGGAATGTTGGGTACGGATGTCCATACACGTGAACTATCCTTTTATGTGTTCTTTAATCACATAATCCCGACACTTTACAGATATTATTGAGAAGCCCGACTTGCTCAGTTATCTTTATCTTGATTATATACAATGGTCTTATTATTTCTATTCATGAAAAGAATGTGTATGATTTTTAAGGTCAAATAAGAAAGAAATAGAAAGTGCAAAGCAAAATGAGCTAAGTTTGTAGGTTTTAGAGTTGTT